GGACGCGAGATCGACTCGGAACAGGTCTTCGTAACGACGATACCAGGACTCAAACGTTACGCCGTTCTCCGGATCATAGGAAAACTCCGAAATACTGTTGGTGAGGCCATCAATTGACAGCGTACTGGCGGCAGCGGCCTGAGACGACTGGCGATCTGCCAGCTTTAACACTAGCCGCTCGAGTAATTGTTCCAATCCTATGTCACTCATCACAAGAAAAATCTCACCTGCGTCGCCAAATTTGTTACGTTTGCCCGTAACAATAGCGAATACCACTCAAATAACGGTACCAGATCGCTTGCTGAAAGCTAGAACCGACCTTCCCAGGCTAATACCAGAACAAGACCAGAGCTCGAGTAGAGAGCTTTATTCACGCCAGCCACGTGCAGAGAAGAAGTGAAATAGAAAGTAATTTGAAAGCTATCTCAAGTCAAGGTTGACCTTGACTTGATAAAAGCGTAACAAAACAAATGGTAATAAATTAATGTAAATAAAATCAGAAACCAATCTTGGGGAATCGTGAATCCCCAACAGTTTTGTTGATGAAGTAGACAGATGTAGAGCTATGAACTACCGCGTGAGCTGCAGCCATAATCTAGTTGATTAAATTTTTAATGAAGTTGTGGACTGTCCACAAATTTCCTAATTTTGTATTGCAGGAAGCTGACGATTGGGAATTTAGTAGTGCTGCAAATCTGTTCAACAAGAATAGATCCGCATCTGCAAATATTTCATTCCTCAGGGCTTTAGGGAGCAGCTTGCATCATTCCCTGCGCTACGCATAGAAATACATATCAGGATATATAAAACCCCAGCGCATTCTCATTTGGCGTCCAGCTTATTGTCTCAGTGCCAGTATCCTCTCTGTGTTCTGCTTTTGCTAGCTTTTTGCTGATTTGTCTTATCGATTGAAATTTAGGGGTCTCTACAACAGTCTATTAACTGGTGATGTGTTGTGGCAAATGCAGCATCATCCCGAATTTAAACAAACATCAAATATCCGTCCGTTGTACTTATTTTATAAACTTAAGCCCTCTTCCAATCATTCTAGTTCCACGTGAGTCTACGATCTAACCTTTCTCTTTTCTAAGATATCCTGACAATGACAAGGTGGTAAATTCGAATGATAAAACTGTCACACACGCCATGCAACATGTCATACTCCTGGCAACCTCTTTTCATATCTTCACCTCTGTAGACCTGACCAACTGTTAGCGAGTAAATTTTGCTTAGCTTTCATGATTGCCTCGCACCGTGCGTTTGTGTTTCGAATATTCCCCCCTTTGGAAACCTGCCGTCCACATCATCCGCCTGTATTTAAACGTCTGAACAGAAGTTGAACATTGCACTGTCTCTTAGCGAGTCTTCTATTATTCCTGAATTTTAACCCTACTTGCCCGTTCAAAACATGCAAGTATGTGGTTGTTTGTTAATTCATTCATTTCAACTTTATTTGTATACAACAGTTTGGTGAGGGCGTTTGGGCATTAGACTGGTCTTAAACTAGAACAGCGACACTGAGCTGACCTTTAACTATTCGTCCGTTTAATTGTGGCTATTCTGCTGTTTGAAGAGGGTGACCTACAAAACCCAACCAGTTAAATGTTAATACTAAAGATTAGATCCGGCTTTTTGAAGTCTTCTTTTCGCGTAGATGGCTTCACCAGGCTACTCCTCTAGTCGTTGGGTGCCATCTCCGTTTTCCCAATAATATATCTAAAGATACTTAGCGATCATCACTAAATATTGAACATTATTGTCACTTCGTCTAGGAAATAGGCAAAATGCTTTCGCATTTTTAAGATCCTTGTATAATTCATTAGGGCTATCTAGCAATAACAGGTTACCACTCGTATTGCAGTAGGATTGCGTTTGCAACCATCAATTGTGCAAATCTATTTTGTTAAAAGTAAGTGCTGATGTGGATGCACCGTCAGCTACTGCTTTAGCTCCAAGGTCTGAATCGTCTGGTAAAATATGCTATTAATTATTATCAAATACTGCTACCCTTACACCCTGGCTTTTAAAATCATAACGCATATAAATCCTAGCCAATACGTTCGATTAAGAGTCGGTAATACATGGCAGCGTAGAGAAAGGATTAAATACGTTGGACTTATAGGCGAACGCCAAAACACATCGAGGGTGGAGATTCAGCAGATGTTTTCAAACTGTTTTCGAAATCACACAGGAGAATATCACTGTGTTTTCCTTGCATGGAAACATTCAACTTGGCGGTGAAGCCTGGGTGGCTTTTGATCATTGATCACGAAAGTTCGAGTAAAGTTAATCAAAATTCCATGGTTTTGTTGGTTTTGATCTTTTCTTTGCAAAATGGCATCAAAAATCTCCTTCCTTAACGTCAAAATGGAACCTGATTAAGTATGTGGTTGGAAGAGACACACCACTGTCATCTAAGCACTGGTGTTAGAGCCGAAGTGACATGGCCATCTAACGAATCTAGGTATTGTCATCACAAAACGTGGGAGCTAGATGATATGTTCTGGTGCAGCGTAAGGTGTTATCTACAGACCTTCTGGTTGAATTGCTAAAAAGCCTCATTTAAGAGTTATTGTGGTTTCTTAGACTGCCTTTTTGTGTGACGAGAAAGTATACTAGTTTGTTCAAAGACTCCACACCACACAACTCGACTGAACTTATACAGGCATGTAAAGACTGTAGGTGTGAGAAGATGTTGATGCTTTGAGCAAAGTCACACTTCAGGAGAGTGTCTTCAGGTTTCATTTGTTGGTGTGCAGTTTTGAGAGCCTTCATGTTCCCATACAAAGCACTTCATTGAATGAGAGGGACTTTAGATTGGTTATGTAGTGG